TGTACGAGCACTACACCTCGGGCGGCATCAAGAGCAGTCTGAAGGGAATCGGTGACCCGAATGGAAAATTCACCCTCAACGGAAAGCCGATCACCCTTCTGGGCGGTTCCTTTCACTACTTTCGCTCGGTGCCCGAGCACTGGCCCTCCATTCTGCTGAAGATGAAGGCGGCCGGACTGAACGTCGTCGACTTCTACATGCCCTGGAACCTGCACGAGGAGAAGGAAGGTCACTTCGACTACACCTCAGGACGGCTGCATCTGGCCAAGTTTCTCGAGGAAGTGAAAAAGGCGGACATGTTTGCCTCGGCCAGGCCGGGGCCGTATATCTGTGGTGAGCAGCTACTGAAAGACAAACTAATATAAAATCACTCATTTTCATTCATTTCAGGTGAATGGGAGTTCGGGGGGCTGCCTGGATGGCTGCTCAGGGACGAGCACATGCAACTTCGGTACAACTACACGCCGTACATGGAGGCAATGGAGCGGTACATGAACCGGTCGCTGGACATACTGACCCGGTTTCAGTTCAGCGGCGAAAATGAGGCCGGTGAAAAGGTCAGTGGCGGCCCGATCATCATGTTCCAGCTGGAAAATGAGTACTACAGCTCCTTTATGCCCACCTCGGAGGAGTATGTCCGCCNGACGAGCACATGCAACTTCGGTACAACTACACGCCGTACATGGAGGCAATGGAGCGGTACATGAACCGGTCGCTGGACATACTGACCCGGTTTCAGTTCAGCGGCAAAAATGAGGCCGGTGAAAAGGTCAGTGGCGGCCCGATCATCATGTTCCAGCTGGAAAATGAGTACTACAGCTCCTTTATGCCCACCTCGGAGGAGTATGTCCGCCGGCTGAGGGCAATCGTACGGGCAAAGGGCTTCACGGGACAGCTCTTCATGTCGGACACCGGCGGGCAGAACTACCCCATCAAGGGCGTCTTCCCCGAGGCGGACGTCCTCGAGACGGCCAATCTGGGCAGCAATTCAGATACGGCAAAAGAGCTGGCCGAGCTGAGGAGTCGACAGCCGCTGGGAGCCGCGCTGGTCTCCGAATTCTGGACCGGAATTCAGGACTGGTGGGGCATGAAGCACAATGACGCCTCGGGGTATGAGGGCCTCGAACGGGAACTGAAGAAGATTCTCTACGCGGCAAATGCGTCGGCCAACTTTTACATGATGAGCGGCGGGACGAACTTTGGCTTTATGAATGGCGCAAAGGTAGGCGAATTTTTGTTTTGTTTTTGGAAAACACTAATTAACCTCTCTTTTTCTTACTAGGTGACCACCTCGTACAACTTCAACAGCCCCCTCACCGAGTGGGGCA